CTTTTGACATTGCTATATTATAAAAAAAAATATAAAACATTTTTCCGTATTGATATATAGTTATATCAACACGGAAAATGTTTTATATTTGTTAAATACAGTTATCCTTGATTTGGTTTTGTGCTTCAAACTTTGGTCGAATAATTCATTATTCGGCCACCAAAAGTCAAGTTTTATTTGTGCATGTAAATGCAAGTCATTGTTACAATCCACTGTAAACCAAATACCGAAATGACAGATAGATAGATAATCCGTTTAATGAAATCATCAAAGCTGAATTAAATGATTTATATACAAGCATTTTTACAACTATTTGCAAAACTATTAAACATTCCATAAAATGAATTATCTCTAAGCTATAAGTATGTACGGCATTGAAATACCAACCGTTACAAATTTATAAATTTATTAAATTTGATATTATGAATGTATCTCTAAATCTATTGGTTCGGTATTTTGGGATATTAATAAGTTTATCATTCCTAAAATTATATTTGGATGTTCACTTTAGGTGGTAGTAAGTTACGAAGTTTGTGTTCTTCATCGTTTAAAATTGAAGCGAAGGGTTTATTACATAGATCACCCCTTCGTACGTATAAAGTCTTTAGACCTAACATGTCTAGAGCGTCCTGATAGGATAGTTCAGGGTAAATAATACGTAGCGCTCTCTTTTGAATCCTTTCGATTACATCCGACAGATGTTGTGGCAAACCATAATGGAAGACCTGACATGCATATTCAAGTATCGACCTTACTGAAGCGACATAAAAGCACTTCAGATCACCAGCGTCAAGTCCAAATCTTTCAAGCTGTTTCAACAAATAGATTCGCTTCGATGCCTTATTAACTATTTTGTCCACATGTTCGTTCCATTTTAAATCCCTTGTAATAGATAAACCAAGGATCGACAATTTCTCCGCTCGGTGCATGGGAGCTAAGTTAGATTGATTCCGTTTAAAGACACTACGAATTGATACATTCATACATTCATAATATCAAGTTTAATAAATTTGTAAATTTGTAACGGTTGGTATTTCAATGCCGTACATAGTAATAGCTTAGAGATAATTTTTTAGAATGTTTAGTAATTTTGTAAATAGTTGGAAAAATGCTTGTATATAAATCATGTAATTCAGCTCTATGGCTGCTAGATGATTTCATTAATTAAATGGATTATCTATCTATCTATCTATCTATCTATCTATCTATCTATCTATCTATCTATCTATCTATCTAAACCATTTGCCATGGTAGTAAACCATTTGCCGTGGTAGTAAGTTACCGACCACCTGAAAGCGATCCGGATATGTATTTTGATCATATGACTAGTATTTTTAATCTACTTGACAATGAACAAAGAGAAACATATTTATTTGGAGATTTAAATTGTGATCTGCTTTCCGAAAGGAGGAGTCGACCCATAACGTTATTAAACTCATTTTCAGAATTATTTCAGCTTGAACAACTTATCAAAGAGCCCACCAGGTTTAATGAAAATAGCCAAACCTTAATTGACGTGATTCTTACAAACACCCCAGAAAGAGTCGTTACATCAGGTGTTCTACATTTGGGTATAAGCGATCATAGTTTGGTTTACGTTGTGCGCAAAGTCGCTATCAAAACTAAGAGCAGGCATCGCGTTGTCAATATTAGATCCATGAAAAACTTCAACGTTGATAGATTCAAAAATGAATTAACCAGTTTACCATGGTCACTTGTTGATAATCTTGAAAATGCAAATGACCGATGGGAATTGTGGAAATCGATGTTTATGAATGTTGTTGATAATCACGCTCCATTAAAACGTAAGCGGCTTAGAAATAAAAAAGTCCCTGGATGAATGCAAATCTAAAACAATTATTTTTGCAAAGAGACAAACTTAAGAAATTAGCGGTGGTGTCAAAAAATCCAGCTGACTGAAAAAAATTCAAAGATGCGAGAAATACGTGCAATAATAAAATTAGACAAGCAAAAACCGATTATTACCATCAATATTTTAAAACAAATTCGGGAAATCCAAAAGAAATTTGGAAATCAATCAATGAGCTAATGTCTCGTAATGCTAAGTCAGACGACATCTCTCATCTTACGTGCAATGATAGAGTGATCAGTGACTCAGCTGACGTAACATAGTGTTTTAATAATCATTTTGCAGAAATTGGGTTGAAATTGAGACTTGATGAACCGGATGAATTAAATAATTGCGTGGTATGTTTTGGTCATTATTTAAAACAAGCGGATACGGTTTTCACGTTAGATTTGACAACACCAAGTGCTGTTTTTAAGTTACTCTCTTCATTGCAGGAAGGAAAAGCAATGGGTCTTGATGAGATTCCGGCTAAATTGTTAAAATGCGCCGCGTCAGTGATATCAGACTCATTATGCAACTTATTTAACTGCTCAATAGCAACTGGTGTATTTCCAGATGATTGGAAAATTGCAAAAGTTAAGCCACTTCATAAAGGAGATGCAAAAGATCTTTTAAATAACTACAGACCAATTTCTGTTCTAAGTGCTGTGAGCAAAATCTTTGAACGAATCGTTTATGACCAGTTGTAAGCATACCTTAATGAAAATGGCCTTATTTATGATAAACAGTTTGGATTTAGGCCAGTTCACTCCACCACAAGCGCACTTTTGGACGCAACTACAGAATGGCTAAGCAATATGGATAAAGGTCAATTGAATTCTGTAGTGTTTCTTGATTTGGCCAAGGCATTTGATACGGTGGATCATGAGATTTTGTTGAGCGAACTTCAGATTTATGGAGTTGATTCAATGAGTCTCAATTGGTTTAAATCGTATCTATTTGACCGAAAACAAAAATGTAATGTAAATGGTCTAGTATCGAGTGAGCGCTCGTTGGTATGTGGGGTACCTCAAGGATCTATTTTTGGTCCTTTGCTATTTTTTGTTTACATTAATGACCTTCCTTCTTGTCTGCAACATTCTACAGCACGAATGTATGCGGATGATACAAATATAACTACAACTGGAAAGTCGATAAAGGAAATAGCATCTGGAGCCAATACAGATCTTGAAAATATTCGCATATGGCTCAAAGCAAATAAACTTACCCTGAATGTTACCAAAACGGAGTATATGTTCATTGCGTCTGACAGTAATCTTGACAAACTGCAGTAATCTGCAGTAATCTTGACAATCATACCATATTTAGTTTTGGATGGAAATCCCATAAGAAGAGTTAAAGTATCAAAATCACTAGGGATATTTATTGACGAAAGATTGTCATGGAGAGATCATATTGATAAAATCTCTAAGACCATATGCTCCGGAATTTCCGGTCTTCGGCAAGTGAGAGAGTTTGTTACCCTTTCAACATTACTTACAATATATAATTCACTAATTCAACCAATATTTGACTATTGTGATGTTGTTTTTGATAACATGTCAATCACACTTGCTCAACGACTCCAAAAACTGCAAAATCGTTCAGCTAGAGTTATCACTTGTCAGGGTTATGAAGTAAGATCTAATGATATTAGAAGTCAATTGTAATGGAAAACACTTTCCGAAATAAGGAATAGTCATAAACTCATAATCATGTATAAAATATTAAATAATATGGCTCCTGTTTACTTACGTGACCATTTTAAAATGTCTTTCACAGACCAAGCATATTCTCTTAGAAATAGAAAACTATGTCTAATTTTGCCAAGAGCACAAACAGAATTCCTAAAGAAAGGTTTTGCCTTTTCTGGAGGAAAAGTTTGGAACGAACTACCAGAATTAGTAAAATGTAGCAATAGTTTACAAATCTTCAAAAAAATTGTCTCATCTCATGCCTAAAATTGTATAAAGCTATTTTTAATATAATGTCGGCCCTCTTGTAAAGCAGTGGTATCACTGAAGAGTTCACCGAATTTAAATAAAGATTTCGCTGTCTGTCTGTCTGTCCGTCTGTCTGTCTGTCTGTCTGTCTGTCTGTCTGTCTGTCTGTCTGTCTGTCTGTCTGTCTGTCTGTCTGTCTGTCTGTGTCTGTGTCTGTGTCTGTGTCTGTGTCTGTGTCTGTGTCTGTGTCTGTGTCTGTGTCTGTGTCTGTGGCTGTGGCTGTGGCTGTGGCTGTCTGTGGCTGTGGCTGTCTGTCTGTCCGTCTGTATGTCTGTCATTGAGCTGGAATTGAGTATCTATCTATCATTCAGCTGGAATTTATTTCTTTGAGACCAATCAACCAAAAGAAACTGTTATCTCTTGCAAAGAACTGTTATCTGCGTGATCAACGATGTATTCTAAGACATTAGTGTCATCCGCGTATTTCATCATATCCCCATCAAATTGTTCGTTGGAAATTACAAGGTCGTCGACCATAACTAGAAAAAGCCATGGACCGAGCTTGGTTCCTTGCGGGACACCAGCATTAACAGGTTTCCAATTAGAGAAAAGATTCGAGGAAAGCTTTACCCTCTGTGATCTTCCTCTCAAAAAATCTGAGATCCAATTTAAAGTTGATGGTATAAGACTTAGTTCTAAAAGTCTCGCATAGAGAATATTATGATCTATAAGATCAAAAGCTTTCCGATAATCTGTAACCAGTGATCGCACACATCCGCCCTCTTTGTCTACTGTCTCCGACCAACAATGGATTAAGGCGATTAATGCCAACGTAGTATTAGAACCCGGTATGAAACCAAATTCCTTACAATCCAGGCAATCCATAAGTGCTGGTTTTAGATCGTATTTTATAATGGCATCTTCGGCAATTTTACAGAGTGATCAGGTACGGGATATACTGTAGGTCTAAGGTCTTTATTAACATCAATTACTTGTTTATTTTTCGGTGTTGGGCAGATATTGGCCAATTTCCAGCAACCAGGCACTTGCCTCTCTTTAAAGGACGCATTTATTATTGTTGATACAGGCATTAATTGCTAGGATAACTGCAAACTTCTGAGGGAGCCAATTGGGCAAGCAATCAGGGCCACTGGATTTTCCGGCTAAATGTTTTCCGGCTAATTACGAAGATATTACTCGTTGACTTCCTTGATAACCACAGAGATGTTTCACCTCCTTCCACCAAACTTTAGGTTTTTGTTGTGTTTAAGTTCTTTCAACTTAGCTTCATAATATAATTTACGGCAGTTTTTCCTACATCGATTTACTTTACTCCGCAACTGTTTATACAAAGTATGGTAATTTGTGCAAAGGCTTTCTGTCTTTAATCAAACGTTTCAAGTTGCTGTTCATCCAGCGTTGATCATTTTGGCAAATCTTCATAGCCTTCAATGTTGTACAAGAGTATCTAGTCCATAATTTATAACATTGGTGAAGTTACTCAAGTTTTGCGGTTCACAAGACTGGTTTGAATTAGCTACTAAGTTCCATGGAACTTCATATAAAAATCTTCCAAGACGATGAATGCTGCTGGGTCTCTTGTCACGCACATAAATTGTTTTCTTGGGATGGCTACCATGGTTTCTTTCTTTGGATAAGGCGACAACAGTAAGATGATCCGACAAGCCTGGTGGGGGTGGGGGGGGGGGGGTACTTAACGGCTGCTCATAAGAATCGGACAAATTCGTTAGAATTAGATCTAGTTTACTCGATCCTCTTGTATTAAATTTTACAATTTGCTTTAGCTGAAATTAACGGGAAATATGCATGTCGTATAGGCAGCTTATTAATGAAAGTCTCCAGCCAGGATTAAGTCACAATTAGGATATCTACTTTCCAGTAGCTCGAGGGATGATTGATTGCTGTCAAGTAATCAAGCATATTTGTCTTATTTGCACTGGGAGGATGCTATAAAACCGCTACAACAAGTACAGAAAAACCTCTTGCTAACCTATGTGGATTGATCTTGATCCACAAAACTGCACATTCATCTTCATTCGGTATATCAGAGATAACGTTCGCTACATAGGAATCTTTTGTATATATACACACCCCGCCATACCCTTTTTCTGTTGTATCTCGTTGAAAGACTCTATAGCCATCGATCTCAATTACTTCGTCGGGTACTCAGTTTTTCAGCCACGTTTCACTGATAAAAACTATATCTTCGTTATTTTCCTTTATTCCATGTTCTAGTTCATCCATTTTAGGGATTAATGACATCACATTTGTTAGTACAATTTTCGGAACAAATTCCCCACTAGGGTCGGTTTGAGGGAGATTCAAAGAATCCCTTTGTATGCCGTCGATTTTAATTATAATGCAATTCTCCAAATTCACCCCTCTATTAATCGTTGTGCATTTGCGAGATTGGGAAAAAATAACGGGAATTGGTTTGTGTAGCAATTGGGTTGATGTTTGATAAGGGTTCTGTGTGACACTTTTAATTGATTCCGTATTTGTTTTCGAGAGATTCCTATCTAATAATAAAAATTGAAAAAGTTCAATTGTCGTAACTAACTATAAGCTCAGAAAACCTAACAAACACATCACAAGTATGTTATTTGTCTTAGCAAATAACTGGGTTAACTAACGATTCAATTATCTCCCTTCATTTTAAAACGTAAAGTAACAGCCAATTATAAATTATTGAACTGTGATTATATTGATCAAAATAAGTCCAATTTCTTATTTTTCCAGCAATTATTGATCAGGTTTTGACAGGCGATCAAGGCTGTGGGGGTATCCTAAGAAGCTGGATTCAAAACGAATATACGACAACGAAGGATGATCAGCTTGTGAATCTCAAAAAGTTATGTGAGAGAGCTGTATTTGTTGAAAAACCCAGCCGTTTCAAGCAGTTTATTGCAGACATCTGCAAAGGCGATGGAAAAATGATCATGGAGAAGCTATCCATTCATCACCTATCAGCAATATATACAGATAAAGTATTGGATATCGTACCCGAAACACGATCTTTAAAGGGTGAAAATAGAGTCAGTAGTTATGATGCTCTTATGAGTGGCAAGAAATGCTTGCTGAAACTACACCAACATTCCAAAGAAGAGGTGGTGAGGGCAGATGCTTTAAGAACAGTTCGTTTAAGAAAAGAAATCGAAATTCTTCAAGTTTTGAATGCTGAATCATGTCCAAACATTGTCCAACTTCTCGGCTCAAGCACTGAAGCCCCTATACATATGATCGTAGAAAGAACGCCCAAAGGCGATCTCCTGACCTACCTTGAAGGCCTTGCAGCTCTCACCACCCCGACTGAAGCTAAAGTATTACTTGAGGCTGCTCTAGACGTTTGTAAAGCCATGATATACCTTGGCGAACAGGATATAATCCATCGTGATTTGTGCGCCAAGAATTGTTTTGTTTTCAAGCAAGACGGGAAGCTACTTACCAAACTTGGCGACTTTCACCTTGCAGTTCTTTCTCATTCCGGCCCAAAGTCGCCAAGTAATCTGAATCGTCAACAGAGTTTTTTAACATATTTCAATCAATTTGCTGTGCGTTGGATGGCTATTGAGGTATTGCAGTTTCGTGAATTCAGCACCGCATCTGATGTATGGTCATTCGGTGTATTGCTGTCTGAGATCTTTACCTTTGGTTGTAAGCCATATATCAACATGCCAAGTGGCCTGTCTTTGGATCGTGACGAAGAAGTACGAGAATTTGTAAGTACACTGTGATATGATGTGTAATGTGATCTAGAAATGACTGAAATAGATCAACATAAGTTCAAATCAAACTTGAAATATTATTTTTAGCTAACTAACTAGAATGCAAATTATTTTCTCATCTAATTAACAGTTAACAGTCAAGAGAGAATGGTATATAACGGTTTATAATAGTTTCCGGCAACTTTGCCTAAAAACATGAAATGTTTGCATACAATCAATATACAATGGTTTTCAATTTTAGTAGGCAATGTAAAGGGTGAAAATAGTTAGTTCGAAAGTACGGCATTGTTAGAGCTCGGTTACTATTTTCCGACCTCGTCATGCATGAATAAAGCATTCATTTTCTAATGTTTCGGTTATTTATTTAGAATCGTTGCACTTTAATCTATGCTTGGGCCTGCACTATTAACAACAGGGTTTAAAACAACCATTTTCTTATATAAATTTTTAATCGGGAGTTACTGAATCGGATGCAAAACACCAAGCATGCACTAGCTATTGTTCAAGATCTAGTCTTTCACACTCGCGGTATAGATTACTCTACAATTTGTTGATTGTGTCACCAAACAGCGTCAAAAATCTCACAACACAATCGCTCGGCAGCAGTTTAACCATACGAAGAAGACATAAGAGTGATTTTCTTGAACACGAGAGATACCGGATCGGAATAAACATGCCATCGAAACATTAGTAAATGAATGCTTTGTTGATCAAGAGGTCGGCAAACAGCAGCCGAGCTCTCATATTGCAATAATTTCGAATTAAATATTTTCACCCTGTATGTTCCCAGTAAAATCTGAAAGTCATTGTATATATGGATTATATACAAATTAGTATACAAGCAGTGACCATTTTGTCGCCAATTTCTATTAATTTTATTCAGTGTTTTTCTACGGTTTGCGACTTTCTCTGAGCATGGAATTTACGTTCTCATTAATATGTGTTTTTTCGCTGCTCTTTCGGCATTGATTCTTTAGAAAATTTGTATTTAAACGAGTTTCTATATAATAAATGTGTTGAATTAACCTGACAAATATTTTTGAAAGTTTTTCTTGTATATCTATTATTCTTGAAGCGAATATTTTCCTTTTTTCGGTTAGAAAAACTGTTGTAGTTTTGTGCCGCCATCTTGTTTTGCGCTACTCGCCGTATATTTATCATTTAAAGACCTGGAGCGAGGGGATTTGGGATAATATTACCCAAAGTGATAATTGTTGTTCAGAAATTTATATGGTTTTAAGACTCTGTTTTCTTCATAAACAATAAATCAAAGTCTGATGCTTAGGCTAATGTTTTTTTTTGCTGCAGAAGTGAATATTTGCCTACCCATCAAGCAAATGCATGATGGTTTTGTCCGCAATATAGAATATATAAAATTTTGCAAGGCCATGTTACCATTACTTTGCAATATTTTACTGCCAAACCTTGCACGTTTACTGATATTAATGTGCTGGTTTCAACTGAGATGTTGGATTTTAATTTATTTGCCAAAATAAACTTTCGCAAACCGTGAATATTGAAAAGGTCTATGAATGTTGTGGCTGCATGTTCATAACTTTCCGGGTATATGCACCAAATTATAACCTTTAACAAGCTAAACGTTTGTTGAACATTTTTGTTACAGTGATTAATTCTTGAATCTTATCACCATAAGCAATGCTGTACATGTATTCGTAGTGGTTCATTTTTTCTTTTCAAAGTATTTTGTTAATGAATATATATATGTATCCTCCTTTTTCTTTCATCAGGTCCTTAAAGGCAAGAGACTCGAACTTCATCCAAAAATTCCTAAACCAATTCAATTTCTCATTGGGTTAACAATGGTAGAGGCAGATCACAGACCAACATTTTTGAGCCTTACAGAGAACTTACTGGAAATAAAATTTGAGAAGGGTATGTACTTTGCATTATTTTGTGTATTGAATTTTTATTGAAAATTTTGAAGGAATATAACAACATAACATCACTCGAAAGCTATCTTGGAAAAGCTATATAGCTATTCAACGATAAGCTATGTATATTATGTTTTTGTGGAGAAAAATGCATTTAAGTGGAGAAACAGTCATTCAAATATGCATTTTTTATGTAGCCTAGTTCCAACCATAAAAATATACACAAAAATATAACTCGACTGTGATTAGTTGATTTCTGTGGAGTCAATCTCAAACAACCTTGCAAAATTATGTAAAAACAGTGCGAAAATCTGTAACAAACTGATCGGATTGGTGTAAAAACAACATGATCTAAAAATAATCAATCAGCTTAAAGTAGTCCTCTTGTATAACGGTCACAGATTGCTTCAAAACAAAACAAACATGGTGACCGCGCTACACAAGAAAAATTTGAGTTCTGGTGGAAAATATGGTTTCTATTTAAAAAAAAATGGAAAAGACTTTACCTTAACAAGACTAACAAAACTTGCATACACAGCAAAAAATCATTTTCTTATTTTAAGAAAAAAACAACTTGTTTTAAGAAAATTTTCTTGAAATAAGAAAATATTTTCTTGGGAGAATAACAAGAAAATTTTCTTAGTAAGAAAATTTTCTTAAGAAAATGTTTTCTTAATTATTAAGAAAATTTTTTCTTATTTTAAGAAAAAGATATCTTGGGATTCAAAAATTTCTTATTTCAAGAAAATTTTTTCTTACTAAGAAAATCATTTTCTTATTTTAAGATTTTTTTTCTTAAATTAAGAAATTTTTTTCTTAATAAGAAAATGATTTTTTGCTGTGTAGTTGAATGAAATTTCAAGCCGTTAGCCTTGTATAATGTGATATAACAAAGCACAAAATTTTGTCAGTGGACGATTCGCTGTAGCTACGTAAGTTAAAACTACAATTGTCTCGAACATTTTTATGTCTTTTAAAAATGTTGGAAGCGAAACCAGGATTCATAATTAATTGTGTAAACGTTCTCTGGTTAAAAAAGATTTATTTATTAACAAGCTTTCGACTGCCAGTCTGCAGTCTTCGACGGGTAGATATATATATATATAGATATATTATATTATCTACCTTCGTAGATATATTATCTAGTCTTAATATATCTACACGATATATTATCTAGTAGATAATATATCTACACGAAGATAAGATATATTATCTTATCTTCGTGTAGATATATTATCTACCTTCGACGGGTAGATAATATATCTACCCGTCGAAGACTGCAGACTGGCAGTCGAAAGCTTGTTAATAAATAAATCTTTTTTAACCAGAGAACGTTTACACAATTAATTTTTATGTCTATTATCAATCCATATAATAGGCTGGTTTCTCGTGAAACTTGGACAAAACAAGCACTCGTGAGTATTTCAAAGACTTCAAATAGTACTCGTCCTTCGTTCGGACTCGTGTTATTTTGATGCTATTTGACTAAAAACTCACTCGTGCATGTTTTATCCAAATTGGACTCGAAACCATCCTATTATCTACACTAAAGACACCTCAAATTATTAGTTTTAATATTTCGAAAAATCTTAAAAGATGCACCCCGTCGTTTTCATACACAATGTATGGGACAAATTACATGTACAACATACAATGTGTGAATGTGTATATGTTTAGCTCCCGAAAGAGAAAAAAATAACTTTTTTGTCCTACTGTTTAGACATGTATACAAATCCAGCCATATTCAAGATTTCCTATGACAAGGATTCTGACCTCGTAAGTATTTAAAAACATATTATAATAAAGATACAGGTTCACGAATAAAATACTTATGCGGACACTCACTTCGAAATGCATACAAGCCAACAATCAAGAACGCAATACAGTTTTCTCACAGTTGTCAACTAGCAGCCAATGATATAGCTATCTGGCAGCCAATGATGGAGCTCTCTATAGCAACCAATAATATAGCCCACTGTAGCAAGGTTAGAATACGATGTTTTTACTATCACACATCCGGGCGTAAGCCCGGGGCGAGGGTACTAATTCCGCCCGAATATTTACACCCGGGTGTTTGAGAACACAGCGAAGTGCAAAGTTCTCCTTCATTATGTGATGGACGGTCTTCGACGTTATGCGCATGCGCGTGTATAAGCTACGTTAAAAAAATGTTTTTCATTTTGCAATGATGTATTTTGCTGTTTTACAATATATTTTTGCGATGTATTTCACTTTCAACTGGAAAAAGCTTGCAGTTTCACGTATTAGTGGTTGTGAACCGTGAAACAAAGTGCGAAAGCCATAAACACCAATTTTGTCGAAGACGAACCAGATGTTTTTAACAAATTTCAGTTATAATATAAGTAGGATATAACAGACAATTTGATTGGCTAACGCGCGTGCATTGTGACGCGCAACAATGCACTGTGTTCTGTGGCAGTCTCTTGCTAAAATTGCTAAAATTGTTCACCATGTACTATCTTATACTTATATTATTATTAGCATGACAAAATTATTGGATGCCGATTGGTTGAGAGGAGTACAATTATTTCATTAATTGTACTGCAGTACAATTAATGATTTTCCCAAAACAAACAAAATGGCGTAAAGGCACTTTAAACACAAGCGTGAAATGAAATTGCCGTGGAGGAACTAGATGAAAATACGAACAAAAGCACCAAATTTTGCTTGAACAAAAGAACTAAATGAAAGTACAAACAAAAATACCAAATTTTGGTTGAAAGTCTGGCAGGACTGGGCTTTGGCGAGCGAATATGATGTTGACATTGAGAAGTATGTATCCAATTTTGTCATGCTAATAATAAACAAGTAATCATGCGATGTTGCTCGTACAATTATGGATTAATAGTACTCGTGATGTTTGGAAATTTGCCAAATTGGACTCGCCCCGGCGGTTCGTCCAATTTTGGCAAAATTTCCAAACCATCACTCGTACTATTAATCCCTAATTGTACTCGCCATTGCATGATTATATACCTCTACTTATAAAAGAAATAGAAAAACTCATCTCGTGCGTTTATGGTGTGATAATGCCCTCGTGGAATGTTGGGAGAACACTCGAGAAGCGTGTAAAACACTCGGCTACGCCTCGTGTTTTACACGCTTTTCTCGTATTCTCCAAACATTTCCCGCGTGCATTATCACAACATAAACGCACGCGACTCGTCTTCTATTCCTTAAAATCGTTGTCTTGGGTCTCTTGGATATGTTTGGAACTTGGGTAAGTTCCGTACTTGCTTTGCATTTTCGATTTCATTCATATCTGCGAAATTTTTACGCCATTCTTAACTCAGTAAATACTGAATATGTTTTTATATGCATGCAAGCTGGTATTTACTTCTCAAATTCATTAATAATTCATGAGTAAATTAGCCAATGATAATCACCTATTTGATCACAAGATGCCATTTGGATACTTGATGAAAGTCACTAGTGTTTTCATCAAATATCTTAATTACGCATGCAAAATATACTTGAATAGAATTCCTAATTACGTTATGCTTGGTTAAGAATTCTATTCAAATCAGCAAACGAAAACATTCTGTTACGTCTCGATTCATTTGAGAAGCCATATAAACAACTCGAGCTCGTGTCTCACCGGGATATCCAAACACTCGAAAACAATGTATGAAAACACTCGCGCTTCGCGCTCGTGTTTTCATACATTGTTTTCTCGTGTTTGGATATCCCGGTGAAACACTCGCTCTCGTTGTTCATATATTACATGAAATTGTAGTGTAATAATATTCATGTTTATTTGAGCCAATTTGGTAATATAGCGTATCGTGTTTTTATGTGTGTTTATAATGGTCTTTAGGGAGCAGTCATTATTAATGCTGGGGGTAGGGCCGGAAGATACTTGGGGGGCCACCAAAAATTTTTTAACCACTTAGGGAGGCTACCAAAACTATCAAAAAAAGGTAGGGGGGAACCAAAAGTAATGTACAATAATCATAAAACATCAGCAATTATAGTTCACTGTAATATAAATGTGAATGCGGTAATCACACGGGAAGAAGTGCAATTAATGATTAACACTACGAGTGATATTTGAAAAATGTGCCAAAATTGCACAAGCCGTTAATAATTAATTGCACGACTTGCCCGTGTGATTATTTATTTATTTTATGCATGGCATGATGACAAAATAGTTTTCTTTAAAATTCAACTTCATTTTGTCAAGAGTTTTTAATTCTTTTGTAAGCAATTTGGCATAAACAAACTTGGGAAATGATCATAAACTCATAAAGGCACATAACTTAAACTAGGACAAATGATTCATACTCAAATAACATATGTTCAGAGTATTACGAAAATCTTTATAAATTGTATTACCGACTTTATACATAGTCACGTTTCGCTGCATCTCGCCGAGATTATTTCTTAAAACTGTTTCCAGTCATTCTCCACAGACTCTTTTTGCCATACTATGTTTTTTAAACTCATTCTTGTGCCAAAATTTAGTTCAATTCGTCCATGTGGTTTTTATACAAGATAAAGATAAATTTCCCCGCCATATTGGACTTGTTGTTTTGATTTCCCCCTCCCCCCAGCCATCGAAATTCATTAATTGCACCACAGGTGGCCCAATCTCGCAAGGGTCAAGTACCATCGAGACTGATCGAGTGCAAAGTCTCGGAAAATATTAGTCCAACAAAAGAGGAATAAAAGGAGAACACACACTATCGAATAGACAAGTCAATTTCATTTTAAAATTTATATTTTATTATATATATTTGCTATAATATACATTGCTATAATATACAAGTCTATACAGTTGCTTGCGAGATTGGGCCGCCTGTGATCTATAGTATATGTTTGGAATGCAAGTTCAATCACAGGGGGAAGAGTGGGGGGGCTATGAAAATTTATTATATTTAAGGGGGGGGGCATGAAATAATATTTTGAAAGAGTGAGGGGCCATGAAAAATTTACCATGAGTTTAGAAATATCTTCCGGCCCCACACCCGGCATTAATAATGACTGCTCCCTAAATCAGTTTCCGATATTTTGCCGTATCTACGACAATTAGATTCGGCGCATGAAAAGTTCGCCCTCTAATCCGGGCCTTACGAGAATCAATCTGTACACAGAGCTATATCAAAGCTTGTCAAAACTGCTATAAACACTGCTATAACTGTGAAACTATTGAAGTCTAAAGTGACATTATTGAATACATGCGAAAAGCTGAAAATGACACAACGTGACACTGGGACTATAAAGTCAAAGGTCAATGAGACCACAGTTAATTGATGAGACTTGTTATTGTAAACATGTCACAATTAGGTTAAAATGCGGAAGCGGATGGAGCGGACCCACGGAACAGATATGGGCATAAAATACGGGGCATATAGTTCTTGGGCATATAGTTCTTGGGCATATAGTTCTTGCAGTGTCTTTTTCAATTTGAAACTTCACACTATCCTTGGATCCCTAGTTTGTTATTTCTATCTTTTTCTAGACATTGAGTATTGTTTGACCAACCCATGTCATGTCAATGCCAGCTGTTTAGACAACGGAGGTTCTTTTGTTTGTCAATGTCAAGCTGGGTATTCTGGAAATGGATTTAATTGTTCTGGTAAGTAACTCTTTCATTCATACATAAAGTTTTGTACCTTTCTACTAATCTACCAACCCATGTCATGTCAATGCCAGCTGTACTGACACTGATGGTTCTTTTTACTGTCAATGTGATGCTGGGTTTTTAGGAGGTGGATTTTCTTGTACAGGTAAACACGTACGCTTCATGTTTACGGGTAAAATATTCATTTGGTGCCAACAATTGATATATTATATACAACAGCGGTTGTGTTGTTTTTTAGATGTCGATGAATGCTCTGACAAGACTGATAATTGCAACATCAATGCATTCTGTTCAAACACTGTTGGTTCATTTGACTGTCAATGTAAATCTGGGTTTTCTGGAGATGGAATTTCCTGTTCAAGTAAGACAAGTTAATTTTATAGCCTCCTTAGTCATTTTTCTTTTTTATGATTAATATTTATTATTTCTAGATATTGATGAATGTTTAACCAATCCTTGTGGCCTCAATGCTACTTGTGCTGACATAGAAGGTTCTTTTGACTGTCAATGTAATCTTGGGTTTTCTGGAGATGGATTTTCTTGTACAGGTAAACAAGCCTCATGTTCACGGTTAAAATATTTATTTGGTGCCAAAAATTAATATAGTATTTACAACAGGGGCGTTTTTTTTTAGATGTCGATGAATGCTCAGACAACACTGATAATTGCAACATCAATGCAATATGTTCAAACACTGTTGGTTCATTTGACTGTCAATGTAAAGCTGGGTTTTCTGGGGATGGAATTTCCTGTCCAAGTAATACAAGTTAATTTTATAACCATATATAACTATTTCCTTTTATAACTATTTCCTTTTTTATGATCATATTTATTATTTCTAGATATTGATGAATGTTCAACCAATCCTTGTGGCCTCAATGCTGCTTGTACTGACAACGAAGGTTCTTTTGTCTGTCATTGTAATGTTGGGTATACTGGAAATGGATTCGTTTGTTCTAGTAAGCATGATCATTCATTTATCTAACTTTGTTTCTATTTCTACTATGAAAATTTAACATTTATTTCTCTTAGACATTGATGAATGTTTGAGCAACCCATGTCATGTCAGTGCTAGCTGTACTGACAACGAAGGTTCTTTTGTCTGTCAATGTAAAAATGGTTTTGCTGGAAGTGGCTTCAGCTGTTTAGGTAAAAGTTTGACTCCCTTAAACTTAACAGTTATCACATATCGAACCCCATGGCCACTCAACAAATTTGCTAGAGAACAAAGAAAGCAGCTGTAGTTTAAACTTAAGGATCCTATTTTAGTCACAATTTAGTTTCGACCTGAAGGAAGTGTTTATTAATACCAGCTACAGTTAAATGTTATCATGAATTTTATCAAGTTGTCAATAATATATATGAGCGTTGTGTGTTCGAGTTAGGCCAAAAGCTACTGTTGAAAGTAAAGCCTAGGCGGCAAATTTTAATATAAAAACTATAAAATTATAAAAAAAATTAAATGAGCTAAATTTTATATGGGCCAATTTTTCTGTACCGTAAAGCAACTTCGTTGATTCGAGGAATGTTCTTTTAAAACGTTCTAGACTTCTTGCTCATGCAGCCTGGACTATGCTATTTTCATTTGACCAAGTCTTTAATCAAGAAACTATTTTTGTATACTGTCTACAAAAACCCTAGCCTGCGAAAACAGCCTCTACTTTGCTGCTCCTATTACTTTGATACTCTTGAAATCCTCTATATATGAAATATACTTAAAACTGCAGAGACTGGTAGTTCAAAGTATCAGAAATTCTGATACATTTCAAATCCTCAAATATACTTAAAACTGCAGAGACTGGTAGTCGAAGTATCAGAAATTCTGATACTTTTGAAATTATCTATATATGTGAAATATACTTAAAACTACAGAAATTGGTAGTCCAAAGTATCAGAAATTCTGATACTTTTGAAACCCTCTATATCTCAAATATACTTAAAACTGCAGAGACTGGTAGTCCAAAGTATCAGAAATTCTGATACCTTTCATATCCCCTATATGTGAAGTATACTTTTCAAATAGTCTAAAAACTGCAGAGACTGGCAGTCGAAAGTATCGGAAATTCTGATACTTTTGAAATCCTCTATGTCAAGAGACTGGCAGTCCAAAGTATCAGAAATTCTGATACTTTTGAAATCCTCTATATGTAAAATATACTTAAAACTGCAGAAACTGGTAGTGCAATTAAAGTATCAGAAATTCGGATACTTTTGAAATCCTCTGTACCTCAAATATCACTAAAACTGCAGAGATTGGTAGTCCAAACTTGTTATTATCATTGAAAATGATGCTGGAAGTCCGGATATTATTTTTTAGATATAAACGAATGTACGAACCCAGATATTTGTCCTGAGAACAGTCAATGCCTTAACAATCCAGGCAGTTACACGTGTAATTGTGATATCGGATATACTGGCTCACCGCAGTGTACAAGTAGGTAAACCGGGTGGCCGAAATTGAGATAACCAAACCTGGGTTACCGCCACGTTACACTATTAAATTATAGTTTAATGGTAACCCAATCCCTTCGTGGTTTTATTGTGTTGTGTATTTACATTCTTTCTCAATCACCCATCAAACAGTAGTGGATTTATAGAGGGGGGACATTGTTGACCTTGGCACGCCTTTGTTAGCCATATTGAAATGTTTGAGGTTTATATTTGTTGTTTTAGATCAGGGCCCCCATTGACAACAGAAGCTTTTGCTTCTGAAAGAGTTACCCTGGATTCAAAATAAATGTGTGTTGTGTTGTGTTGTGTTGTGTTGTGTTGTGTTGTGTTGTGTTGTGTTGTGTTGTGTTGTGGTGCATTTATTTCCATCACAAACTCTAAAGGACAGGGAATTTACGAATTAACTAAACGATCCGAATTCTGCAGGTGATTATCAGACGCTTTCTAGTCAAGGTGGAAGTAATGAGAGTTCACAATAGTGATGGAATTAATTTGTAAGCTAAACTGAACAAGATAAAAGGGTCCAGTTCATCTGAAATCTTGCTTCACTGTGAGACAAGCAAAAGGCCTACTGGGGTACATGTCCATGTCCCTACAGTAGTTATATAGTTTAGAAATGTCTTTGCAACTAGCCAGTGCTGAGTTCGGTGTGCTCGGTAGCTTGCCCAGCATCTCCCTAACTAGCTGGATCTACAACTGCCATCAATGTTTTTTACCATAGGAGAGGGTGAATGCCCTCAAAAAACACTTTGCACCACCAGAAAGTTTTCTCACCCCATCTAAAGAAATTTGTAACCCTACCTCCCAGAAATCTAAAAAGAAAACAAATGACAGTAATGTGACTGAAGTAACGATTTTGAACTGAGGAAGACTATATATAAACAAGGATTTTGAACTGAGGAAGACTATATATAAACAAGGATTTTGAACTGAGAAAGACTATACATAAACAAGGATTTTGAACTGAGGAAGACAAAATATAAACAAGGATTTTGAACTGAGGAAGACTATATATAAACAAGGATTTTGAACTAACTAAGATTAAGAATCTTAAAATTTCCCCCATTAGCAACTGTACCCCCAGCCCTTGCTGCAGCTTGTTGCTTCAATTTGTTTGACACATTCCTCAAGCCCCCCCCCCATAAATTTTAATTCAGCACTCCCACAGCGCAAAATCTGAAAATCCGTTTATGACTTTTATATCTTCTCCTTATTTAGGACTGCCAGACGCATTTATTTCCATCACACTTACAATAAAGGACAGGGAATTTAAGAATTCACTAAACGATCCGAATTCTGGTGATTATCAGACGCTTTCTGGACAAATTAGAAGTAATGTAAGTTCACAAGTGTGATGGAATTAGTTTGTAAGCTAAACGGAACAAAACTTTCATTATGCTAGATAGCTCTGCCAGTTCCAAATTGATCTTCCTTGTGGTCCAGTAAGTGCCAATCCCTTGTTGGTCCAGTGTTACCATATGGGGAAACTCAAATTCTTTTATACTGGATAGCTCTGTAAGTTCTAAATGATTTTCCCTTACTAAGGGAGGAAACTGATGCTGATTTTTTCTGCCAAACTAGTTTCGCATTCCAGAATGAAGTCCTTTAGACCACAAGACCGTTCTTGAGGAATGGGATACTGGTGCAACAATCACTACGCCAATGTTGCAATGAAAAATGAAAAGCGTTCAACACTTAAAATCGTTTTGGCGTACCTCTCCAAAATACTTTGTTTTAGCTTCATCTCCTAAATATGCTGTAAATCTCCTAAATATGCTGTTTCACCGCATCTTATTCCATATAACTGTATTTTCTTAGTTCGATAAGGAATTTTCCAATATTCCACAATATCGTGGTGCCAATATCTTGAGATTGAGGTGAGTTCAACGCTGAGTAGTTGCATATACAAGTAAATCAATTAAGGTTGTCTTTCCAAAAACTTAAACGTTAAACTCTGGGCGCGCAAGTGACGATGGGTTATTGCTTATTTAGGCTCATAAACTTTGAAATTTGTGTTTGCAAGAATACCTAAGACATATACAAGACTCACAACAGAAAACATACTTGCCGCAAAGGCAATTTTCTGAGTTTAAGGGCCTAATAGATGAAAAACCGTCATCCCTTGTGTGCTCAGAGTTTAAGGTTTTGGAAGGACAACCAAAATTGAATCGGCTGCATTTACTTTCGCATATGATGATAGCGATGATTTTTAAATAGTTATGTATGTCGCTAGTTCTAACCATTGTATCGATTCTGAAAAGGCGTGGAAGTGTGATTTTCGATGCAGAAGTGGTCTTTGTTCCGGGTTCTGAAGACGAAATTACTAGGGTTTTGGAGGGAATGAATACAACTGGCGTTCTTGGTAACTTTT